GAATTGTCGGACATCCAACACTTCAATGTATTCCCTCACAACTTTCAACAGCTCCTCCGCTGTTTCTCGTGGTGGCAGCATGATCAAAACAAGAACAGCACAGTTTTACATTCAAAAGTTTACATCACCAGCAATGGCAGAACAGATTCGATTCATGACATGTACAAGGCCATGCATGAGGTCTTTGGAGTTCGCTTGGATATTGAAAAGAGAGCCAACACTGACTCTCCAGAGGTGCATGTGGATGCCCCCTGGCGAGCTATGGATGTACAGACCAAGACCTATGGTAAGATTAATGCATGCGGAGTTTTGGAACACTCAGCATTCATGCATATACCACTTCTCAACTCTTTCCTTGTTGTTGTTCCTTTCTGACTAGCCATGGTCTCCCCAGACCATGCCAAGACTTTGGTAGAAGGCTTGCTCAACCACTACACACCCAACAATGACAAGAGAGCCGGCTGTCCTGCTGATGGCAAAAGCAAGAAGTCCAAACCAGTCATTGCCTTCCTGGACAGAAAGGATTCCAAAAGGTCTATCGCCAACGGCCCTGAGGTCCTTGATAAGCTGCGTCAGTCCGGTCATGATGTCCGATACCAACCATCCTTTCATGGCATGTCGCTGATAGAACAGATCAAGTTCATGTCTGAGGCAGACATTGTCATGGGGCCACATGGAACACAGTTCACTACAAGCTTGTTCATGCCTTGGTGTGGTTCCTTGTTGGAGTTCTTTCCGAGACAGTATTATGCGCCCAACTGGTATGGTTCAATGGTTGCTTTGTCGGGGAAGCATCACTTCTTGACTTATCAAGGAGGACAAGCACTGAATGCCTATAGGCGAAACACGAGGCATTTCAATGCCTCTGTTGAGGCGGTGGAGCAAGTCACGGCAGTCATGGTGGAGCGGTGGCACTCTTGTTGTGCAGCAAGAAACACCAACAACTGTAACAGCAACAAGTTTGGTATTTGCACAATTGTAGAAGAAAAAAGAGGGGGAAAGATGAGTATTCCACCTGAAGCAATCGATGGCACCGAGCAAAACCCCTATGTTGCAGAAACTCGCTACAACGGCACCTTGCCTGCTTGGGAAATGTTCCTTGGCCCTGGTAGACCATACTTTCCAGAGGGTCAACGAGCTCTTAACAAAAGTGATGCCAGGCTGCTCTTTCCCAATCACAATTCCACTGAAGCAGTTTGCCGATTGTCAAACATCTTCCTGTTTCAGATGTTCCCTCACAACTTCCAGCAGCTTGTTCGATGTTTCTCATGGTGGCAGATGGACCATAACAAGAACAAAACACCAGTACTGTACATTCAACAGTATGACCATGGGACTGATGACATGGCCTCAGTTCATGGTATGTACAAGGCCATGCAAGATGCATTTGGTGTGCGATTGGACATTGGAAATCGAACCAATGAAGACTCTCCTGAGGTTCATGTGATGGCACCTTGGGAAACTATGGCAACCCAGACAGGCATCCATGGTAAGAAGGGAGATTTGATCTTGTTACCTAGATGCACTCTATTAATCAATCTCTAACCATGTCATTGCCTCTCCTGTCATCATCTCAAGCAATGGCGTCAAGAGAACATGCCAAAAGAATGGCAGAAGGCTTTCTCAACTACTACACACCTAACAATGACAAGAGAGCTGGCTGTCCTACAAATGGCAGCAGCAAGAAGGGTCCAGTTATTGCTTTTCTGGATAGGCAGGATTCTCGGCGATCGATTGCCAACAGTAATGAGGTACTGTATAGACTGCAGAAGGCTGGCTATGATGTGTTGTACCAATCTTCTTTCAAGGGCATGTCGTTGATGGGACAGATGAAGTTCATGTCAGAAGTGGATATTGTCATGGGTCCACATGGACAGCAATTTCTCACAAGTATGTTCATGCCACAGTGTGGCTCCTTGTTTGAGTTCTTTCCCAGGAACTATTATGCACCCAACTGGTATGGATCATTGGTGGCCTTGTTCGGCAAGAATCACTTCTTCGCTTACAACGGAGGAGGAGTTTCACAATGGATGAACGAATCTCGTGAAACCAAATCTTATAATGCCTCTGCTGATACAGTCATGCAAGTGACAGAGGCGATGGTGGAACGGTGGCACTCTTGCTGTAGTGCACTAGGAAATGTTTAATAGAACAGTTAAAGTCACCCTTTTGCTATACCAACAGTAGCTAGCCAGAGGGGAAAATTTTCATTCAGTATAGCAAAAAGAAAACCTGCGGGGCGGGATAGTTAAAAGAAAAGGAGGAGGGGAGGAGGAGGGGTTCTTAGCTATCAGGCAATGCCCTTCTGGCTTATTGGCAGTGTATCTTAGGAGTTCTGCTTTTCTCCTACAAAGGGTGCTATGAAGAGTGCCCCCTATGAGTCTCTATTAGGCTCAGCCATCTACCAACATCCATATGGCTCATGCCTAGCTAGCTATTCTTTGGGCCCGCCACCTCTGCACATGTGGCTCTCGTGTCCCCGCTGGCAAAATGAGCTACCACCATTCTCTCTGGGATGCTGATCTTGCACGCTTCCGATAATCTTGCCCCCCTTCCTCCCTCTTGACTTCCCCTCTCCTTCCTCCATTTCCTCATCGCACCCCCATTCCCCCCGTTTTGCCCTACTCCCGCCCTCTTTGCTCTCCCAATACAGCCCACCACCGCAGCCGCTGTTCTGCCTAGCTGCTTGCATTCATCGGCGACGGCGAAGGTGCAAAAACAAATAGCGACGGCGATGATGTTGCGGATTCTTCCTGGTACCAGGTAGCTATGGGGAGTCATGTCTGACATCCGCGCTACGAGTATTGACTATCTGGTCGAGTGACTCAGTAGATTGAGTCAAGTCACTCAAAGGGGGAAATTGTTCATGTTAATGACGTCACAAGCTCTAAGGGAGTAAGATAGTTGCAATGGGTGGCTCAACATAACCCCGACGTCAAATACCGGCTCCCATTGCAAGGAAGACAACGAAGATGGGGACAATCAAAGCGCCTCTACTACTAATGAAGCCACTTTTTGACGTGCTACAATGGTGCTGTAAGCATATCTGATGGTCTCAAAGCAAGGGTAGAAGTAGAGAGCTCGGAAGGGTTGAATTGGGCTTTGGAGGGTCTGTTGTATATCTCGGATCTTCTTTGTCATTCGACGATGGAACAATGGGTGGTGGCTGCTCATGGTTGCGGCTTGCCGCTGCTCATGGTGCGGCGGCTGGGGAGAAGTCTCTTGTTAACTCGGCTGTTGTTGTGCCGAAAGGATGACGACGCCGATGGCTGTTCACGGAGTCGACTGTTGACTTGTCACTCTGATGAGGTTGCGGCTGGGGGGACAGGGAGATACCGATACCAACACAAAAAACAACGGCGGAGTCGAGTTTCTTTTTGGGCAAATTTGAGCATGGGAGGCGGCTGTCGCTAGCTAGCTACCGGTATTCATAGCTAGGACACGACGGCGATAACAGAACTACTGGATGCCGACTGGATGGCCGACAACAACTAGGTTGTTGCTCTGTTGACGCTCTGTTATCTGTTATCTCTACATGTTTCTTCTACCGTAGCGTCGGAAGGCCAGGAAGCACGACGATGGGCTGTCTACTGCCAGGCCGAATTCGACAACTGATCAACATGCTACGACGATTGCCTACGGCGACAGCTGAACCTACACCAACAACAAGACGATTCGATTCAATCAAGAAGACGACAACAACACAACAACGACATCTTGTCGCTCGTAGTGACTGACCATGGCGCTGCTGAGGAGCTACTAAGACGAAGTATCTGCGGCAGTCAACAGCAGGATCGCCCGCAGGAGACTAGCTAGCGTGCCATTGACGACGACACATGAGCGCCTAAGACAACAATTCTGAGCCACGAAGCTACTGGTTGTCTGCACCGTCTCTTCAGGCTTGTTCCTGGCTCTTAATCTCTCACAGATCATCAGATTCTATTGGCAAAGAAGCTACCGGTATGAACACCCCAGAGGAGCTTGATATCTAGCTACTGTAGACGGGCTCCCGACACAACACAGTTAACTCAGTCTGTTATACTAGCAACTACTAGATCTAAAGGATGGTGTAGATCATAATATTTTTGTCCACATGCAACGGTAGCTAGCTAGCGTGGTTGTTATAATGGTGTGGTTGATGCGGTGTTGGTTGATGTGGTGTTGTGTGGGTTCCACGAGATCCTCGGAGTACCGTAGGTGACGCACTGTCAACTAACTCTACTGGCTTGAGGGGCGGGCTTCTCGGCTTTTCTTCCCTGAATATGTTGTGAATGATTGAATCACGGTGCCATGATCGAATACATTAGAAGACTGCACAGAGGACGTGTGCCACATGACCATTTCTGTACATGTAGTTCTCTTTCCGGTCATATTTCGCGGGCTCCGATGAACTGGCAACACTATTCATAAAGCCGTGGTTGCTGTAGCCTTTGCTGTATCGTCCTACTAGCTAGCTACCGGTACTCAATACGGCTAGCTAGCTAGCAGCAGCTGTACCGGTAGTAGGACTATGTCCCATACCGCCGCATACCGGTAGCGGTAGCGTTTGCATGTACTGTTAGACAGCTTGGTACATGTATGTAGACTGGACTAATCGACAAGGATATAAATTATGAGACCTCTCCATTTTCACGGCTCACTCCGCACACATAAACCACCATTATTTCATAAGTACCACAATAGCCCAAGCACTGATGATGATGAAAAGTTACCATAGAGTAAAGCCTGTGTTTTAGCCATCAACATTCGATTACTAGTATATTCGTATTCAGCAGGACCGTCCGACGGTTTTCGATAAGGATTAAAAACATTGAAATTGCCACGACTGACAACATCCTCTTAAACATCCTCTTAACATCCTCTTAACATCCTCTTAAATCTTCAACTTCCTCTTAAACATCCTCTTAAATATACATCCTCTTAACAACATCCTCTTAAAGCTTCGAAACATCCTCTTAAGCCTTCATTGAAACGCCATAGAACTTCCTCTTATCACGAATGAACATCCTCTTAAATAAACATCCTCTTAACAACATCCTCTTAAACACTCAACATTCTCTTAAACATCCTCTTAAATCTTCACATCCTCTTACATCCGCTTAACGAGAACCAGGATTTTGAGTCAGTCGTGGCAGGTTTTAAAGCCTGAGAGAAGTCCGTCGGGCGGTCCAGTGTGTGCTGATCATGACTAAAACTTACTTCTCTTAGTTCAGTCACAATTGTATGATAAAAAGTGAGGACCGGTAGCAGCTGGTTGCAGATCCGAAAATGACATCGAACCATGTACCACGGCCACGCTGCGTTCCGCGACCACAGTTTCTATCCATGTACTCGAAGCTGGTTGGCTGCTGCCACCTATGTCATACAACATTTTCGGGGTACTTCGCACGCCGTTCAAAATTAACAATTATTGAATGCACTGGAAGACATTTCTGGGATGAAGGTAGTTGCGGTAACAAAAAATATTGATTCAAATATGCACAGTAACGTTTTGCTTTAACCCTATTATTACCAAATCTACCCGACTAAACTGACTCCCAGGAAACCGCGAGGCTCGGTGGAAGACTGCACAGAGGACACACGTGTGGATACGTGTAGCTTTCAACGGCGTCTATCCTACCGTACACTGAGTGATTGGTTCTGTTGATCGAACTGGCACACTGGCACGCACCGAGTCAAAGAACTGTGAATCAGGATGCGTTTTTCAATAGTGCGTTTTTTGCACTCCGATGTTGTTCGCTGGCAAATGCAAAAGCCAAAGAAACTTCCCATTTCTCTTCTAAGAGCCAAAGAAACGCCGCGTATTAGCTAGCTAGTAGCGGTATCACAACAACAAAAATAGTGCCACCATGCCGCCTTCCAGAGGCAGAGGAACTGTCTCGCTAGTATTTGTTGCCATCTTCATGTTGGCTATCCAGTATCGTACCTTGGGGTGGATCTATCGTCGCATGGACACCGCCGAAGAGCTCATTGAGTCTCATCAACGTTCAGCAGAATGGATGAACTTACGAAGAAAAGGTCGTTTCCTAGTAGGAGGACAGGAGCAGCTGGAAATGGACAGTCTTCAAAACAAGTTGTTGAAGTCCAACCAAGAGAAGAAGCTACTTGAACAAGCTGTTGCCAATTTGACATCTATATTGGCCCACCAACGGGAGCAAGAGGAGAAGAAGGAAAGGGGAGAGAGATGCTGGGGCACAATCAATCCAGCTCTCCAGTGATCTTGCCTTAGAAAACAGCTTGAAGCTATCGATCTATGCAGGGAGAACTGAAGACACACAGTCTCACTGCACCACACATGCCGGCTCTCCAACAACGCATCCAGTCTTCTAATGAATCCTTTGCCCAAGTCACTTCTTATTGCCCATATGTCTCCAGTGCTATTGTTGATAGTGGATGTTCCTATTCTGTCACCAATACTTTCAGTGAAGTCGACCCAAATTCTATCAGATAGCTTTCCGAACCAATTACCCTAGGAGGTATGGCTGGAGGCCTGAGCATATGAGTACATCGGAACTACTGATTTGGAGACTTTGGATGAGCAAGCAAGTGTTGTGTCATTTCGGGAGCAGGTTTTTATTCATCCTGATCTTCCAAAGAGACTCCTAAGACCTCAAGTTTTCTTGTCCCATCAAGGTCTTGACCCAAAAACATGCAAACTCCACGATCACTTCAGAGTCTACCACGACCAATCTGAATGGCATACGGGATGAAAGAAAATGCTACAAATGAAGTTTGATTCTAGTTTTCTGCCACGACTTACACTGTTCCCAAAAGGAAGGCCACTCTCTTCTCTACAAGCAATGACTTCAGTTCGTCATACCAACAACCGGAACCTTTCTACATTGAACAAAATCTGGCTGCAATGGCATTACAAGTTGGGACATCTGTCCTCTCCCATGTCCAATCTCTGGGTTGGGTGGTTTCTTAGAAGACAATGAAAGGGTCCTCGGTTTGCTTGTAAGCAAGGTCGGGGAGCATCCTAAATGTGCCGCTTGTCATTATGGAAAACAAGCTCAGGCAACATGATCACATCACTGTCACCAAGAAGCTCACAGACAAACAGGGAGCGGTCAAGAAAGAACAATTGGTGCCGGGTATGACAACCTTTAGTGATCAATTGGATCAAGAGTCAGAGGATTGTTGCAAC